CCCCCAGCCTGTAACACTGCATGGGGTAAATGATAAATAAGCTCAACCAGCAAAAGGATTATTTTGTACCTGTCCTTGTCCTGATCACCCTTTCTTAAGTATGTGTTGCTGACTGCACTCGGAGACAAGATGCTGGGCTGGTGAGATCTTTGGTCCCATCTTGCATGGTCCCCATAGCCACAGGACACCTCAAGCAGAGCAGTGGTATGCTGAGGTGTTAGTCTGGCATTGGCTCTGCCTCCTGCTTGTTACTGTCTGTCTTTGGCAACTCTGGGTTCCTTCAGCTCAGAACCTGAAAGTTTGAGCCACAGGTAGGGTTTGGAGATCAGAGCGAAGAACAGCAGGAACTACAGGACATTCTGCAGTGGGAATGTTGGGGAGAGTAGGGCTGTAGGGCTACCTTGCTTGTTCTTGCTAGTGACCTTCAGGCAAGGGCTTAATTTTCTTTCCTCTAAAAGGGATATAGAGATATCTGAACTCCACTGTAGCACGGAAGCCTGATACTGTTGTTATCAAGTATAAAGTCATGTAATAGCTAAACAAATTGTTCATTTCTTCCTCTAAAACTGGCTGTTGCAAAACTGAGCCTGGCTGAGGCTGCTTTTGGGGAAGGCTTCCCAGCAGCTCTCTGGGCAGCTCAGCTATGTGTTTAAAACAGACTGGTAAAAGCTCTGGTGTTTTCTCTCCCTCTAGTAAATACTCTGAGTGGCTGTTCCCAGACTACATTATCCTTCCATCCTGCTACACAGCCAGGGACCTGCTCTTCACCCACCTCAAAGATACCATCGCTTGCAGGGTCGAAGGTGCGCATAGCAGAGCTGGTAGTGGAGAGAATGCAGCAGTTCAAGAGAGTGGCACCCGAGCAGCTAAAACACAGCATAGATGATAGTTTGCCAAAGTCTGTAGCCAATGGGGATTTCCCTGATGAAAGCCAGGAGCAGAACCCACCAGAGAACGGTATGTTTCTCCTGTTAGTTCTTGTACGTGCAGAAAGAGTACTGTGGGCTGGTGAGAATGGTTGCATGAGAAGCAGTCCAGATTCCTGGGCTTTGTTCCCAGCTCGCCTAGTGGCTCAGAGTGCAGCACTGAATAAATCACTCCAGATCACTGAGAAAACTTGCTTTCTCTATTGTTAAAGGACTATCTGTACTTTTTTCCCAGCTATTCTCTAAGGCTGAATTAACCTTATGTTAGATTCTGAAGGGATAATTGTCTTATTGGAAACAGGTTGAAATTCCAACAGGATCAGTGAACTTTGTCATTCCTCCCTTGGGACAGCGTTAGGTACCTGTTAGGTAAATATGACTCTTGGGTAGCCCCCATCTTTGGTAGATCTCCAAGCACTCTGTAAGGTAATATGTTCTACACAGATTAATTGAATTCACAGCAACTTTACTCTGGTTTAGTTCTTTATAAGTCAAGGCCCTGTTGGTTCTGTATGGACATGAAAATCTGCTGTGTTTTAATATGTAATGTATAAGATTCCATGTTCTCCCCAGAACTTTAGCCAAAACCTACCCTTTGGCTCTAACATGTGATGTACTGTGAACAAATTGCCACCTCCTGCTCCTCGGTTGGTGCAGTCCTGTAGCATTTAAAGAGTGCAGTTTGTACATTTTCTTGTGAGAGATCAGATGTGAAGACGCAAGAGAAAGATTGCGATTAATTTTTATGTGTCTAGTTTAATAAACTAATAATGACAATTATAACGGCTCCACACCTTTCATACAGGATTCTTAGTTTTCTATCTTAGATCATCTCTCCCTTCTTTGCCAGGTACCCACCATCTTCCGTCCATGGAACATGACGGTGCTCTGGCTTTGGCTCTTCAAAACCAAAGAGGAAGCTCTGGCAAGCCTGGAGGATGCAGGCTTATTTTTTTGTCAGATCTGCCAGAAGGATCTTTCAGCCATGAACACAACGCGCCGAGAGCAGCATGTTAACAGGTGAAAGACCAGCACGATGTATCCTTTCCGCATCCTCTCCCCGTTAACCTCATAGACTGCTCACTCAGCTTAGCCGTTAAAGAACATGGTAGCAGGGGAATTGACCTTTATGGCATGAATTAACGAGTTGTTTTGGTCTCAAAGCAGAGGCTGGTTGTCTTGCCCTGCAGAGCTTCTGCATGTGTGTGGTAAGGCCAATGCTGCTTTCGTTGGTAGCGTGGCAGAGGAGCTGCGATTGTAAAGGGGCTGTCAAAATTAATAATGACCTACTACTGCAGATTTTGAGATCTGCTGATTTCAGCCAACAAAGTAATGTTTGCTCCATTTTGCTAAAAATTGTTCGGGTAAGGACCTCTAGTATGTCACTGCATATCTGAGCCATTTGCTGAGGGAAAGGTGATACTAGTCAGAAAGACAACTAAATTAAAATTACTGCCCTTAACGTAACAGTTTCCTTAGTGGTAAATATCAAGTACTGTTAATGTATTATGTACAGATAGCTCTTTGTAAATTGGAAGTCTGTGCTTCTGTGTTGAGAAAGTATCAGAAACAGCACATTTAAATGATTGTAATTTCATAATTCAAGCACTTTCAGAAGGAGTGATTTAATTTGTCCAGTCCTACATCCCGTTATTGAGTGACTCACATTCATTAGGATTGTCTGCACCTGCAGCTTTAGAGGTGTTATTGCTGTTTCTCTTTTCAGATATTTACTGCTGCTTGAGAGGACAGAGGTTGTAAAACAGCAACAGTGTGTCAGAAATGCTTTTTGGAAATTAAGTCTACTTTCTGAACTATTAGGCATGTAATCATATGATGAGGTTACAAGGTTATATTAGCAATGGATTTTTTGATAGCAGTCTTCATCACAAGAGGTAAAGCTGTAGATGGACAGATGCACTGGCAAACTAGTAATCACCAGTCCTAGTATATCAGATGAATGGTCTCTTAACACAGCCCTGCGTGGGTAGGTAGTGTCTGTCATTACCTAATCAGGGAGTGATTTTTATAATAGGTACTGCAGATCCAGGATTTCACATCCTGAATCTCTTTGGAGAGGACAGAAAAAGAGTGATTAAAAATTTTTTACATAGTTTTGGCCTACCAGAAATTATTAGGAGTTCATCATCCTGTACTCTTTGAGTGCAGTGTTAATTTCAACTGCTCTCTTTTCTATGGCATGAAACACTGTCCTTGTCAAGTGAGATATCGGACTTGAAAGCGCTTACGTTCTTGACACTGCGTGTGGTCATGCCTACAAAAGTAGTAAGAAGGACAAGAAGTAGTCATGTTTCAGGTGAGGAAGACTTACCATTTCTCTAGTAAGGTGATTCTTTTTTTAACAGTGGTTTGTAAGTTAGCTGGAATATTAGATTGAATGCAGAAAGAGGGATTAGGTGGTGGACAAGCGGTGAAGTTAAAGAAGGTTATTACCTGCACTTGCTTTTGAGCAACATGTTTTTAATATGCCTCTGAGGCCGTAATCACCATGTACCTGTTTCATGTCATATTCATCACAGTGGTGGGCACATAGTTCTTGTTTCTTTAGGGGATGTTTCTGGCTGTTACAGATATTAGAGATGATTGTGCTTCCTTTTCTTTAATATGGTTTAAATCTTAGCGTGTACAGTTTTAAAGTCTTCAGAGGTAAGCTTTGCCATCATCTCACAGGTGTCTGGATGAGATGGAAGAAGCACAGATGTCATCCTCCAGCAAACCACTGGTCCCTGAATGTCCCATCTGCGGGAAGCAGTTCCAAACCCCACAGAGCCGAGTCAGTCACTTGAAACGCTGTGCTGTTGAGATGGATGTTCCTCCTAAGATGCTTCTTCAGGCGGTGCAGTTGCAGGTGTCCACGCTTGGCGATGCACCTCTTCAGCGTCCCAAGTAAGCTGGTAAAAATAAAAGACGCTGGTTATTTTCTTTGGCCTGAAAGACATTGAACCTGTGCTCCTGGGATGAATGGTAGAAGCAAGGCAGATTGACACGCTGGGTGGGCCCCAAGTCCAAAGAAGGTCAGGTAGAGCCACGACCCAGTACCACATGAGGAGAATGTGGTAGGTAGTTGGAGAAATCATCTTGCTTTCCTTCAGAAGCGGTCAGATATTGGATGACTTTAAAAGTCAGCATGCAGGAGCAAAATGGGGAGTAAATGATCTTACACTGGTTTGTCAGAATTATTTGTGCTCTATGAGGCAATTATGCAGTAAAGCTGAATGGCGTGTTTGAGCTTATTAAGCAAACCACATAGTACGAGTATGCAGTCTCTCCTGAGCATCTGCCCTGCCAATACCTCAGCTATTCAGCTTGTGGCTGTACTGGATATATGTGCTTTATACCCCAAGCCAAAGAGGAAACAGACGTGGTGTTTTGAAATGCGTTCAGTACAGAACTACATCTGCTGTCTTGGATTTGAGCAGAATCTTCAGAGTACAGCAAGTGGTGCCTGACTGAATTTGTAGAAGGGCTCATAAGTCCCTTTTTGCTGAGGAAGGACCATTGCCTGTTCCCTGTGGAAGAAGAAGAGTAGGAAAGCATTTTCTGGTGATCTTGTTTTTGCCCTGCTTCAACTTGTTTTTTCCCCTTTGGTACAAAAAAGCATTCAAGGTAGAGATAACAGATGCTTATATCAGTGCTGTGGTCTTGTGCTTACCTTTTCAAAATAAGACTTTCTCTAAATTGCTCTGAATTCCATGGATTATAAGAAATCCTTTGCTCTCTGCTAGGGAGAAAGGTACTGAATGGTTTTTCATTATCCTTGCTATGGGAATCTCTCTGAGCAAGTAGAGCAGCTGGTCTGGAGTGCTCAGTGTTTCTTGTCTCTGATCCAGTCACATTAACGTGGGCTTCCTGCTGCATTCTTGTATTTCAGCAATCAACCAAGCAGGTCAAAGCGAAAAGGTTCTTCCAAAGAGGACTCAGAGAAAATGCAGAAGAGGGCCAAAATGGAGACTAAGGATGAAGATTTGCTGGTTGCTATGGCAATGTCACGCTCTCTGTTGGAGCAAGAAAAGCAGGAACAAGCAAAATCAGTTACAAATGTGAAACCCGTGGCTGCTTTGCCAATCAAATGGAAGCCAGGATCAGGTATGTGTTAAAGCGAGTTAGTGCCAAAGGCTGTGATATTGGAGGAGTAATGTGACACAGCCTGCTCTTCACTAAAACTTTCCTGTTGGATACAGGAGGGGTGTCAGCCCTGTTCCTGCTTTATTTAAGCTGTCAGAGCTTCAGCAATATGCGGTATCCACACACAGTCAGGAAGGGCTGCAGGATGTCCATGGGTTTTAGTGAAATCCTTTAGGAATCTCATGCTTTTTTTCACCGATTGATCGTTTTGAATCTGTAAAGTATTCTTAAGATAAGCTGTTGTTTTTTGTAAACTGTGGAAGTGAAAAGAAAGAACATGAAAAGATTATTGTTATTTCTCCTGCAGTAGATTTTTTCCTATTCATCCTGCTGCAACCTGGATTAATGCAGCTTTTTCAGCCTTATCTCTTGTCTCTGTTTTCTTTCGGTAGTGGACATATGGGTATACGGCATGCTGTTGAGCATGTGCTTCGCTATTTCAGTGTGCAGAAAGGTTTAGAAAAGAAGATAACTGCCAGGGGAGAGCATTGAATGCTGTATAGAGGGGAAACTGCACTCTTCATGACCCTGCTCAGGTCTCCTCCTGCCAATAAGTACTCCCAGTTGGATTTGGGGTTGGGCATTACTAAGGCAAAGGTAGTAAGACACTGGATTTCCAAATGAAAGCTGCTCAGTGTTTGTGTGAGCTGTGGTTTGATATCGTCAGTGACCAAGACACAAGAAAAGGAGTCCTTCATGGATTTGTTGTTTTTCTCTCCCTTTTTTCTGAAGCACTGCTGTACAGGCACCGTTCCATGGGTCTGGGAAGTAGACTGCATGGGTATCAGTTGCTTCCCTAATGATCAGATTTTTGTAGAGATATGACAGCTCCCAACAGGCAGCAGAGCAGTGCGAGCAGGAGTCAGTCTTTTCTGGAGTTCATTTCTCCCATAAGGGTGATGTCAGTCTTCGGACTACCTGCGGAAGTCTGAGGAGTTGTGTTCAGCTTGTGGCTGCCTGTTGGTCACCACTGACTACAGCACTTGAAGGAGCTGGCACATTGAGCTCCTCTGCCCTGTGTGTTCAGCTGTTTATTTATTTGGGTTCCTCTTCCTTTTCTTTTTAAAGAGAAAAAACGGCGTAAAAGAGGCCCAACTGCACCTCCACCATTACTGCTTCAGGATCCAGAGAAGGCCCGCAAAAGGATCCAAGAGCGAGTAGCTATGCTGCTTGCAGAAGAGATGGAATTCCCTCCCACCCCTCAGCTTCCCACTAGTAGGATTTTGGAGGATAAATCTGGGAAAGCAACCTGGCTCTTGCCTTTGTCCAAAGACAAGAAGTGCTTTTTATGGAATATCAGTGCTCTGACAGGACCCTATGACCCTGAGTCATTCTACACTGCTGCGTTAACCCCTCCAATTGTGCCTTGGAAACCTGTGCAGGTGGGATGCTCTTTTGTCCTTGCTCTGATATTTGTGTGCCCTAGTTCACTTGCCATGTAACCCTTCTGTTTCCTCATTTGCTATTTAAATGAGTGATCTCCTGCCTCTGCATACTCACTGCTCATCCCCTGTTGTCCCCTGGTCTTACACAGTTAGGTTTTATGATCTTGAACTTTCATGTCTCACTTTTGGAGAGGAGACCAAGGCTTACATTACCATGCTATTCCTTGATCTGTCAGAAAATAAAACTGATGGGAACAAGAGAGTACTGAGTAAAGGGATCCCATCCTGCTCATTTTGCCACTAGCTTGTCTGTGTTTACAGCAGCCTGACTTGTTTTCCTTCTTGGCACTTTGATTGATTCTAGTATCAGCTTTGCCCGTGTATTGCACTTGGCAAGTATCTGGGTGAAAAGTTTAAACTGAAGACTGACGCTTGTCTTGCACAGAGGAGAAGGTGGGAGTGCCTAGGGTTGTAAAGCGAAGCGTTTGCTCTTCAGGCTTTCCCTGTGCACCCCACTGCCTCTTGATGCATATGAGCTTTGATCCAGTTTTCAGTTCCACTGTTTCGTTCTGTTTTTCACCTAGATCTCCTGCCTCTTTCAGTGCTCTGTATTTTTATACAAACTGCCTACAGAAATAGACAAAGCTCTTTTAGTCTCTCATCTTATCACATATTTGCTCTCCAAGAAGAAGGATATCACTTCTCTTCCTTCCCTCATTCTTTCCTTGAAGAATTATTTGGTGCTTCTGTTCAAAAACTACTGGGCGTATATAGGTGCTTTATGTAATACTTCTTCTCTAGTCTAAGCCCAGAGTTTTTCACTGGCTTATTGCAGGCTAAGGCTGTAGGGACTCCATTCTATGAAGATTTTTGACCTTGCATTCAAGCCAAAAACTGCCAGAGAAGTTTAAAAATAAAAGGTAGGAAGGCCTTTAAAATCATGGCAAGAACGTCTTTTCTCTCCGATTCTTTCCATTCACAGAAATGGCTAAACCATTTTTATTTAGAAATAAACAAACAAAACTATTTTTATTAGGAAACAGAGACCAAACCTGGAAAATATCGGCTCCAAGGTGAAAGTTTGGTTTAGTTACAAGTAACTGCAAAAGCATTTCGGAGCTCAGAACAGAAGCACCTGGAGAGCTTCAGCTGTGACTGTTGCCAGGCGCTCAATCTATAATGAAATACTTAGATGTTGGAGTGGGAGCATTTCCACCATCCTTTTTCCCTGCTTGGCAATTGCCTGCACAGACACGCTCCTGGAGAAACCACCTTTTCTGCATTTTCTGTTGTAGTTTCGTTTCTTCTGTTCAGAGCTGTCTTAACTCTGGAGAGTCCTTCGTAAAACTGCAGAGAGCCTTTGCCTCAGAAGCCCCTGTACCTGGGGAATGCTCTGTAATCCTTTACTAGATGTTTCAAAAGTATCAAGTAGAGACTGTGCTCTGAGCTCTGCAAATACATAGAATGAGACTGAATTTATCGGTGTCTTTTTTCCCTCCTCTTTTGATCAGAATCATAAGCCAGAGAACCTTCTGCCATCGGTGGAATCTGATCAGTCAAAAGTATCCCAGCAAATTCAGCCTGACCTCAGTTCTCATGAGCCCACTTGCACAGAGGTTGGAGGCCAAAGTTCTGGTGAATCCAAGTCAGGCCCTGAAGGAGATGGGCAGTTTTTATCTCACAGCCAGAAGGATGTTCAGACCCTGCAGGACCTAGTTGAGTTGGCCAGGGAAGGACTTACCCTTACTCAGTGGAACCTTGATGTTGACCATGTTCAGGCAGCGAAGCAGCCAGGTAAGTTTTGGCAGCTTTGTGAGCCCTGTCCCTCGTCCCTTCAGCTACACAGAGCCTGACTTACGCTGTGCTAAGTGAGGAGAGCCATGACAGCACCCACAGGAATTTGATGTTGATCCAAGAGGTGATATCATGGGGGGACACTTCTACAGTGAGCTTTAGATACAATCAAGCTGACGTTTCTGAAATGATTCATAAATCCCAGCATTTAAGAGAACTCCTGGACAGCAGGTACTAAATTTTATTTTAAAATTCCCTCAAGGATATCAAGTATTTTCTGCCAAGACGGAGGCCGGACATGTTCAACAGCTGGGACAAAATCCTCATCCCTGCTATTTGGACAGTCTTTCTGTTATGGGCAGTGTCTTGTCAGGTCTTGAGACAATTGGATGAGAGAGATGTGCAAGAGGGATGCTTTTATGTTGGTACATCGATTACACAAACCTGAAGTTTATCTGTACCTGTACAGGGTTGAAAAAATACAACACTTAGAATTCCTCTGTGGGCAGCTCTCTAATGTCCCCAGTCATAGTTGCGTGTGGTGCACAACTGCAAATTTCAAGGTCACTGATATCCCTTAAAATGGCCTGGCTGTTCAGCAGAATGTGCTGTGTGTCTCCTATTCGCCTGTGAAAGAGAACATGGTTGCTAAGTTCACCTGTCTGCATTTTCACTTGGGTATAATGTTCCTCGCTTTCCCAAAAACAAATGATTCCTGGTCCTATAAAACTACTCCTGGGATTTCAGTGAAGATATAGCTTCCTGGGTGAGGGAAATAATTTCCACGCATGAATGTATCTTGTGTGTGTAAATGAGACCAGGTGGAGAAAAACCACTGTGCAGACACTAACCCACCAGAACCCACTTCTGAAGACAAATTCTTTCTGTTGCTCTGCATCCTGTTCTGTGCACTCTGTAGACTACCACAGGGCTCAGGCTGTGCGAAACAGATTTCACTGGCTGCCTCTGAGCACTAAGGCCCACGGCATTTTGTCTAGGTTGAAATGCAGATCTAAGATACATTCTGCTAGGATGAGACCGTGGCATGTCCCATCCTGCTCTGTGTCATAGTTTTTTTTTCCAACTGGAGGAAAACTGAGACGTGAAAGCAGAGAAGCATGCTGCACTCCGCAGTTCCTCCATCTGGATGATGATGGCACGCACAGATCTGCAGTAGATTGGTGCTACTCATGGCTGAATGGTACCTGGGTACCCACAGCCTGTCACAGCCCAGAGCCGAACCCTCCAGTAAAGGCATGAGGGAGAGGCTGAGCCCAACTCAGGCTGCTTATAGCAGCTGTCTCAGGGAGCTGTCACGGCAAGGATCCTGTGAGGAGTTCTTACATCACTCTTTCTCACAAAGAAGTTGTATGTGATTTGTGATGTGCATTTTCTTTGAGGAGAACAACTGACTTCCAGTGATATTCCACGTAGTGGCTTTGTGTCCCCATCCAAAGAGAAGAGCCTCCAGACGAGCAGCTGTAAAAGAGTAAGGACAACCCTTTTTTTCCACTTTTTTGGTATTTGTTTATCACTGTAAAAAAGAAGCTATTGCATTTGTGCAATTCATAGAAGTATGGAATATTTCCCATTCCTTTCCATAGAAACAAAGAGGTGCTTAAGGTTCACAGTCACTCGGGAATCCTCACGAGCACCGGTGAGATCAGCACACATGGTGATATTTCATTGATGCCCACAAGCAGGCCTGTGGATTTTTCAGTACTTGTCCTACCTGGTGAGAGAGATGATTTAAAATGTCTGGTAACATAAGGCCAATCTGTGCATAGTTTATATGAAGAGAACCACATTAAAGAGTTACGTTATAGCACTAGGAGTATTTGGGGGTAGGAACTAGGGTTGCAGCTGCACCACGTTAGGCAGTTCGCTGCTTTAATGCCTGGGCTATCCAAGAGAAAATTGGCTGCAGCCCAGGAGAGACAGAGCTGCCTGCCGCTTCCTCCAGACTCACACACCCAGCTACTTTGGGTGGTTCTGAATGGAGCTGTTCCTCCTCTGTCACCTTTCTCGCCACACCATGCCTTGCAGTGGAAGAGAGAATTCTTGCAAAGACCAGCTGACTTGCACTAAATTCTCTCATCTGGCATAAAAGCCTGGTAGATGGTGTGGAATGCTGTGAGGTCCATGGAAGATGAGCACTTTTTTGCTGCTAATGTGAGCTTTTAAAAGGTTTACTATAGAAAATCCTCAATTGTGGGAACACATATTGGAGGATCTAGCTTGAAAATCAATGTGCTCTCTGTGGTGATTAGGTGAAGAATACAGGCTAGTAAGTCACAGCTGATTTTTTTATCAAGCCAGTAGTGTTCTGTAGGTCACATCTTACCCCAGATGCACTGGTGGATATGTAATCCCCCAGGGATGGATAATCAGTTTTCTTCAATTGAAGTGCATATAAAGAAACCCTAATTCATCTTCTTACCAGGGTCATCCACTTTATCTGGTGAACCTTATCATCTTTGGTTTGATAATAATTAATCATGCCATGAAAGCTAGTAGATTTTGATGACAGATAAGTTTTGATGCCTTGAGAAAGCACTTTCATATTGTGCTAATAGAATTAAGAGACTTCTAAAAGGAGACAATTCTGTGAGGTGGGAATCTACTAAACTTGAGCATCCCAGCAACTTGTTACAGAAACTCAAGATATACTTTGGGGGTATTAACAAAAAAAAAATCCTTAGCGGGGAAAAAACCGTCTTGTTTTATAAGCTTCTGAGTCAATTAAACCAGAGGCCATTAGCAATACAGAAACTGTTCTGATACTGTTGTTGAAACTCAGTTGCTGCCAGCAAAACCAGTATAATAATTTTTTCAGATTTAGTTTGATTCCGTGATAGTTTTCCTGAGCAAATGAAGTGTTGCTGAAGAGTTGGATTACCAGTGGGAGAGATTTGTGCTTTATATGAGCATAGGCAGAGCATAACCATGTAGAGCAAATACATCCATTGCATTGGTAACACATCCCCCTACCCATACTTAAGACCCTTGTCACACATGTGGATTCCAGTCTAGCTGGCCTTCTCAGCAGGAGAGAGTGTTCTGGTGTGTTCTCCGACAGGAGCGCATGCCTGCTCAGAGCTGTATTCAGACCAGTCTGTTTGCTTTGCACAGAGAATGGTGTAGCTAGGAGGTTTCTAGCCTTATTTAATTTCCCCATTCCCAATTCATAATTTTAGCATCAGCAGGAGAGCTGTTCTGGGCTTGCTGCCTGGAACGTAGCATCAGGAGTCTGTGTTTGCTGGCTTCCTGAGGTACTGTCTTGCAGGTATCCTACCTGCCAAGAATAAGAAAGCAAGAAACATCAGATTAGTTTCCAGACTGAGCTTCCTGTCTTCCCCTTGGAGATCAGTCCACACCACTGCCATGACATGCAGAGCCTTCTCTAGGCCACCTATGAAGGCCTGGAAGAAGTGTTTTGGTGTGTGCTGCTGTTCTGGTGCTAATTAGTGTTGGCTGCCCGCAAACACATGCTGGAGCGAGTAGAAATGTTGGGTTTCCACAGTTCACTGCTAATGTAGAAACCTGCTAATAAAATAAAGAGCTGTGTTGTTCCAGGTGGAACTGCATCTCATGCAGATGTTCACTGGAATAAAACTTGCAGTTCCTCAACTCTGCAGTAGGTTTGAAAAGCACAAGGTCAATGATTAGTGTGTTAACTGTAAACTGGTTTCCACTTGCAGTCAGACAGCCTCTCAACCGTGAGCCGAGGGTATTTCACACTTCTCTGAAGCACTGGCCACCTCCAGAGCCGCAACACTTGCCTAGAGGGATCTGAGTCTTTAGAAGATTGCCTGGGGTGGGTTCATACTGGGAGCAGCTCCAGAGCAGAAATGGAGTGTTCATCATTGCTGTCTTTGGCAGCATGCCCCAGGCCTGACCTTACCATCACCAATAACCATTCGCAGGTAGCTCAGCCAACAAGCCCTCCCCAAAATTCCAGCAAGGGGTTCTAGAACGATAATAGAAATTATGTTTCTTTTTTATAATTGAGTGGAATTTTCAAAAGGAGTTTCAGTAACAAGCACATAAGTTCCTTTGAACTAGACACTTACATTAGTTTTATTCTATGTGTGCCCCTTGTTGCAGAGCTGCTCTTCTCAGCTGTCATTGCCAGACAGTGGATGAGAGAAGAAAGGCTCATTACCCCATCCCTGAGTCATCTTCTTTCCTCTTACTCTAATTATAGTGAATTGAGTTCAAGTCCGTCAAAGTGGAAATTACAGTTTCCTAAAAATGTGGTGGAAGGCAGTAGATCAAGAGGCCAGCTGTAGGCAGTGGCTAGACCACATCAGGAAATGGTGTGGTGAAGATCTGAGGGTGATAATGTGCTGTAACGCGAGGCAGCACAAGTACAGTGAAATACAACACGACTGCGCTTTCTTCACAATTGCCTGACTGTGAAAAATTGGAGGAAAACAAAGCCAGAAATGTCTGTTAGACTTGTCTGCTTATTTGTCTTATGGAAGACCTGAAGTTGATAATGCTGATGATTATCTTCAGGAGGCAGTGTATCCAGACTGGGGCCCACAGTACAGCAATGATGATAAACTGGGTTATTCCCTTCTTATTTTTCAGGGAAGTGTTTGACAGCTGTAATGTAACCTTCTGTCTTCGCGTTTCTTCTGTGTTCTAGTCCTCTCTCAGGTTGCTGGCTGAAGATTTCAGTGCGATGGTCAACAACCCCCACTTAAGTGATGTCCAGTTCCAGGTGGACTGTGGGGATGTCCTTTATGCCCACATGTTTGTGTTGTATGCACGGTGTCCACAGGCTGTTCAAATTGTAAGTGCTGCTGACATACTTTACTCCTCTGCTTCGGGAAATCCCAGACTTTGTAACACCTACAATCAATTAGTGCCTCTGGACCTGCAATGGGTTTTCAGCTTAGGAAACCAGAATCCTGACAAAGTGGTGGGAAATTTGGTACTTTACCTGAGGTGACTATAGGAAGGCAAGGATCCTTTCTTGCATTCTGCCCGTAAGCAATGGAGGAAGCTTCTTAAGTGCTTTTTGCCCTTGAATTTTTGTACCTGTGCCAGTGCAAACTGCCTTGTCCATCTTGTGTGTCCTGCCTGTCACCCAGGCTGGGAAGCTTGAGTGTGGAGTAGAAGGATTCTGGGAAGTACTTCAAAGAGCCTACACAGGAGTTTTGTTACTCTCACAGTTGCTTTGGAGGTAGCTTTTTGCTACCTTTTTGTGCTTTTTGCAAGGCTAGTGAGCTAGTTCTTATGTTCCCAGAAGCATTTTGGGTTCAGTAGTTCCCAGCCTGCTCCTGTGCAGCCTCCTGTCGGGACAGTGAAAGGCTGGGAGCCTAACATTTGAACTCTGCTCTTTCACAGGGCTACCGCTGGTTCATACAGCCAGCTCCCTAACAAAGGGAGCTCTCTTTAAAGCTGCGCTTTTGGAAAGTTTAGGTTTATCCTCATGCATCTTGGCAGTAGTTTCCACCCAAGGTGACTCAGGCCATTTCTAAGGGGTCCATGAAAGTTTGGGGAGGGGAAGCAAGTTCATACATACAGCAATCTTAATACGAATTTTTTAAGGGATCTTCATAACTATTGGCAAGTGTGTGTGTGCCTGCAAATCAAAGGACTATAAAAACCATTGGGTTAGCTATGTTCTCTTATTATTTTCCTGCAACTCTGGCTTCAGCATTCCCGTCCACTGTTTTCATGGGCAGGAATCATTTATGTGGGTAGAGTTGTGGGATTGGCCCTATGCTGTATTTCTGATGCGTGCAGAGGGTTGTTTTCCTCTAAGTCCCCACCTGCAGAGCAGCATTTCATGGTTAATTTCTGTATAGGTGAGGGAGCGCTTTTCTTTGTTGAAGATTTTGGGTAACAAGGAAGCAGTAATTAATCAGAGATGACTTCGGAGCTTGTGTTTTCTGTTGCATGGCATCCGCTGACTTTGGCGAGAGTTTCAGATAGCACAATACGTGTTTTGGCTGCAAAGGAAGTGAGAGATGAACTGGAGATGCATTTTCACCAAAACCTGAGATCAAGCTGGACCCACACAGAATAATGGTCCAGTTCAGTTGAGTAGCATTTTGTATGGTGTTTCTTTTCCTGTGAGATTCCAGAACTAGAGTTTTGGCAGTGCATCAAGGGTAGATAAATTCAAAACAGATCAGACGAAGCTCGCTTGTAGAGAGGTGTAGATAACTCTGGAAATTGTGCTCTGGGAAGTAATTTGATTCCAGAACTGACTGGAGAACACTAAGACCATCTTTTACATGTGTGACTAAAACGAGTAGTTAAACTTCATCAAAGCTAACAGGCGTAGGGTCAGGAAGGAAATGGTCTGTTCCATGTGAAGCTTTGCATAACTGGTCATCTTGGCCTCCCTCTGAGGCATCGGGTCCTGGTCCCAGGGTACGACTTTGGTGAATGAAAAGTGTAAGCTGATAGGAACAAGAACATTGGTGTTGCTGTTCCTTTACTAGCAAACAGACTTTGTTTGCTTTCTTCTTACCCCAGGTTCACAGCCAAGGGTTCTTAGTGGAGGAGGATGGGAATGCGCAGACACGGCGTGTGCTGCTGAGTGACGTGACAGGGGAGGCGGTGTGTGCATTCCTGCGATACCTTTATGCTGCTGATGCTGACATCCCTGCTGAGGTGCTGCCCCAGGTGGGGGCTCTGGCTTCCAGGTTTGTATTGTGAGCATGTTTTGGATCCCCTCATGCTTTCAGCCACATAGACCCCAACCTGATATCTTCCATTGCAGTTTTAGTGGTTTACAAATTCCATAGTCCTCTGCTTACATCTTAAATGCACATACGAACATCCTACACTCATCTTTTCCATGAGTGTCTCTTCAGGTTGTATCTGTGTGATTTTCTATGTTGAGTGTAGACTTAGCAGACTTTTGCCAAGAGTTTTGTCTCGGGATGTTTATTGACAGCTGATGTTGACAATGATGAGCATATCTTCTATATGTGATTCTCAAAGCATTGCAGTAGCGATGCACTTAATCTGAACAACACTTGCAGAATGTATTGGGTGCTTGGAACTGTAATGTGTTGTGTCAGCCGTGCTCTCGGTCGTGATCCTAGGCGTGCGCTAAGTAAAGAGCTTGAAATAGGAGCAGTTGCTGAGATACAGGGGGAAAATGGATGGGTCTTGCCAAAAAGTATTTACAGAGGTGCCCTGTCACTCCAAAAATCCATGGAGCTTGCACATGACAGACATTATCCAGCCCCAGCCATTCCATGGGGCTCTCACCAGTGCAAATGGCAAAGAGGTTTTAGTGTAGTCATATAGCTGTTTAGTCTCAAACATAAAAAAGGAAGAGTGAGCCTGATGCTTTCATGTGAGTAACACCTGGAAAGTGGAATTCCAAATTTTAGGAGTATCCTGGATCTTGTACATCTTAGGAAACCAACATCCTCATGCAAGTTCTTTACAAGGCTCACAAGAGTGATCAGGCAGCCAAATGGTGAAGAAATACTGGAGGAGGAAAATACTAACATTACTATTATATCCTTGCAGGTTCAATGTGAGGGAACTGATGGCAAAGTGTGAAAACAACACTGGAGAGAGTCAGGTGTCTTCTGGAGTGGATTCAGAAGATGATCTTATCTCTGTGAGGGATGACAAAGATTGTGAGGACAGAGCTGAGAACTTCCAAGACCTTTTGAAGTCAGTGTGGGTGGGTGAGGATGAGGAAGAAGTGGCTATGCTGAACCCTGAATGCCAGAAGGAAGATGACAACGGGGTGGGTGAACAGGAGCTGGAAGAAATCTATGAGTTTGCTGCAACTCAGCGAAGGATGGTTCAAGGTGAAACAGAGGTGAGCGAGGGAACAGACTGCAGCATCTGCAGTGATACTGAGGCAGCCCAAGGTACAAACCAGCGAACTGAGGAGGAAGAGGTAAAGAGATCTGAATCTGCTTCAATAAGCAACAGCTTCAAAGATTTGAGGGATGACAATGATGTGGAAAGATCTAAATGTGACTCGTCTGCACAAGAAGAGAAAATGCAGACTATAAATAGGTGCAAGAGCGTGAATGATCCACAGACGACTTTTGTGCCTCACCACAGTGAACTTCAGAAATGGGACGTTGCATCCCATGGTGCCACTGCTAATGAAGGAGAGACTGTTAGGAGATGTGAAAGTGTGAAGGATTCCAAGTCATCTCAGGTCTCACATGATGAGGCAGATCACTGTGAAAAACCGTTTCCTAGCTTCCACAGTGATACTAATGTAGCTGAAAGTTATGAACGCTTGTTTTCTGCAACTCAGAGAGATATCTGTGAGCCTTCCCCAATGAAAGACGTTATCAAGGAATCAGGAAAGGCTCCTAGTGAAAACCATGTTGATGTTGATGATTCAGCTCTGTACAGCAAGTCACCAAAAGACCTCTCTCCACGAAGGAATGGTTTTTATGGGAGTCCTCCTCCCAAACCATATGTGCCCCTTTTTCCTGCTCTTGGCTCTTCACCTGCATCTCCAAAATCAGAGAGAAAGTTTGCCAGAGAACATGTGTCAAGACCAAAGCAAAACGAAAAGGAAAAATCATTCCCTTCTGATGAAATACACTTTCAGAAAGCCAGCGAGCTGGATACTACTTCAAGAAACGAGGACACAATTTCTCCAGCAGAGCTTCCCCACACTGATTTAAACAAGCATACGTATGTCCCCGTGTTGTCATCACTCGTCATCAGAACTCAGGATACTGCAGCTCAGGGGAACAAAGAGGGTGATGTCATTGTTTTATCATCTGAAGATGAAATGGAGTTACAACAAGACAGGAAGTTGCCCGAGTCAGGCTCTGATCTGACCAAAATGGAAATCCCTGGGCAACTGAAATGTACAAATGTAGAGCAAGGTCCTGAGATACCAAAACCTGAACATAACTCATCAGTCACCGAAACAGAGCAGAGAACAAGCCAGATCTCATGTGGCATTACAGATACAGTGCATATAAGTAATGATGTAAAGATGTCCACCGAATTGCCTCTCAGCAGACAAGCAGATGCTTGTATAGAGAGCAAACAGAGTCCAAACCTGAGCCCTGAAAAAAGGCTCGGTCATGAAATGTCTTCAGGTACAGATAGCTCCTGGTTAGTGCCAGACACACCGGTTCTGAGCAAAAGCAGAAGTTCCTCAACACAGACTCAGGTCACAAGTATTAATTCTTTAAAGACTCCGGGATCTAAACTCAGCACAAAGAACTTGGCAACAGGTAATAGTAACCATGAAATGACTGGAAATTTGATAAAAGTTCGCGAAACAACATTGTCGGACAAACATTTGCCTATGGAGAATTCAGTCAGTGAAAGAAGCCCTTCCAGCAGCCCAGCAGCAGGATCATTTTCCAAGAACTTCCCACCAGTTTCTCCAGTGGATCCAGTTCTCCTCTCCCCTGGCCACACCAATGTAAAAAGCAAATGTGCCAAGATCTCATTTTTATCCCAGCCTGTGCCTCTGTGCCATGAGCAGTCATTGGAAGATAAAAGAAATATCAGTGTGGTTGAGGTAGAGGACAGCGAAAAGGAAATAAGTCTGCCTTCTTTAAGTAGTAGCGTCTTGCTTTGTGATGAGCCCCCAATCCCCGTTAATGACTGCTGGCATGTTGAATACGTGTCACCAGTCAAAGGTAACAGCCAGGACTCCAACCAGCTCAGCCATGCAAAGACCAGCACTGCCAGCAGCCCCAGACCCAGCTCTTGGCATGACCAGTGGGAGAGTCCAGTCTATGTGCAGGAAATTAAGGGCAGTACCCCTCTTCGAGGAAGTCCTGTTGGCAGAACAACTTTGCTCTGTCTTGAGAAGAGTCCTATTGAGGCATGTTCATCAGTGGGCAGTAGACCGAGTTACTTGAACTCCAAAATCTGGGATGACTGGAATGGACAAGAAGAGGAAGATGAATTTCCAGAGCTCCTTCCTCTGTCTCAAAGGTTGTCAGCTGCAGCAGGTGCCCGACAGACAGATCCTGTAAAGACTCCTGGTGAGAGTTTGTATTGGTACTAGATTTATTGGACTAGGTTAAATTGTTTTCATTTTAAGTGGTCATCTCACCTGTGATTCACTTCATACATTGAAAGGGTCTTTTGGCCTTCTGATCTGAAGTGGTTGTCAGGGCCAGGCACAAAGAAGGTACAGACATCTTCTGATACAGGAGAGAGCATATCTAAATGTGGGATTCCTGGAGCATAGCCACTTGTATTTCATTCACACTGGTTCTTTGACAGTGATGGTACTCCTTGCAGAAGCTACAGGTACCTGTGGGAAAAAAAAATGACCAAAACAGAACAAAAAAACAGCCTTCAGCTTGCACACCAGTGGATATTTGTTCCCTGTAGTAGTGGGTGCTCTGTACAGTCTTGCTTTTCACGCGTTCATGAAGCGATGCTTGTGCTAGCATACACAACGACACCAGGTAAGCAACACAGTGGTGCAGGCACAGAGGGTTTCTGTGTGTTGAGGCTAGCTGGGGGTCCGTGCCCACCCCTGTCCGCGGGTGGGTGTCCTGCATGCTTTCCTGCAAAGCTCTGCTGATGCACTGCTGTCTTCCGCTGCCTTCTGTTTGCTAGTTCTCGGCCCTTGCAACAGACCTCTGCATGCCTGGCACATATCCTTGCGTGGTTCCTTCCATCTAAGGCCAGTAATCAATCTCATAGTATCTAATTAAATATATTATTAATTATGCAATACTAAGTGATTAGTTTAACGGGTGTTTAGAACATGATGTGTGAGATTGGCTGTGCTTCACAGTATCAGTAAATTGGTATCATTAAATCAGTATCTAACTCAGGACCCCAGAAGCTTAACTTGCTCAGTTTTTTCTGCATCAAGTTCCTATTATGACATTTCCTTCCTGGGAGAAGAACGACTTTACAGAATTCAGTAAACATGTTCTTTTAACTGCCTTGTAAATGCTGCCTCTTCCAACCAAGCCCTGAATGGGCTTCATATTCAGATGTGATATATGTCTTAATTTAAGCTGTTTTCTGATTTAAAGTCAATAAAAACCAAGTATCCCAGTGTAGGGGAAAAAAAAAAGTGTTGACTGTTCTGTCCAATATGAAGCTGAGTAATAATTAAAAGAGCTTGTAGGAAAGTAGTGCTACTTAAATAATTATTATATAATATTAGAATATCTGCCACTAAAAGGGGAAGATACCAGCCATTTTAAGCCCTTTCTGTACTAATTCTGATCATGGTAATTTCATTCTGCTGCAGAACCTTCCTGTCAGGAGAACGACAAGCCTCCCAGCACTCCAGTGACACCAATGCCAGCTTACTCCATCATGGAGACCCCACAGCTGAAGAAGGAGTTGAGCAGGTTAGCGTTACCTCCACGAGTACATCTCTTTGTAAGCAGAATCTTGCTGGCAGATAGTGTGAAAGAAAGCTCCTGGGCTGAAAGTGAAACCATGGTGAAGCTCCAGTTCTGGAGCTTTTTTGAGGTCATGTCACACTTTTCCAGCTGACCGCTGGACTTCCTGGTCTGAGCCTCTTCCTGAGCTGTAGCAGTGCAAGGTGCAGCGTTATCTAAACCTAAGCTCTCACCTTTCTCTATCAGATTTGGAGTCCGTGCTCTCCCAAAACGCCAGATGGTGTTGAAGCTGAAGGAGATATTCCAGTATACTCACCAGGATGTGGACTCTGACTTTGAGGATGAAATCCCATCTTCCCAGCCTCCCCTGCAGAAGTCCCCAGCCAAACGCTCTAGGCAGTCAAAGGCAGACCGGACTGCAGGTGGAAAACGTGCCAATGCCTCGAGGGCTGTGGGCAAAAAGAAGCAGGTTGCTACGGCTTCTTCAGTGCTCCCTGTGGGGAGGGCTGATGTTGACCTTGTTGGATCCCGTGAAACAGGCTGTGCAGCACCCAAGAAGGGAACTAAAATGACACATCACCCAGAAGGAGCCAAAGAGCAGAAAAGGTCGTCTGTATCTCCGGAGAGATGGTCTCTGGCAGCTGATGGTGAGGAACCAATGCTCTTAGCGTCGCAGGAGTCTGCAGTTTCTTCAGTGGATGGAAGTGACATCTCTTTTGATTCACAGAGGTAAGGCAACAAATACTAATCAAAACAGTCAATGGTGCCAGACAGAGGTGAGCTAGGAATGTGTCAAACAGAGGTGAGTGTCCATGTGGCCTGCACTGGCCCTGCCACCTCCTTGGGCATGTCATTTGAAGGTCAACACACTCCTACAAAAGAAACAGGCTTTGGTTTTTTAGTCTAATTCCCAGTGAACTGTTCTCAGAACACAAAAGTGCTTGTGGCTGCATGTGGGCAAGGCCTAAATCTGGTGTGCCTGGTCTCTGCAAGTTAGAGTGACAAAGAGCACTCAGTGTTGACTGAGAACCTGCAGCTAGAGTGGGGAGAGGACAGCACAGCACTGCTTGGCAGAGGCGCAGCAGTAGGTGCTCTGGGTCAGAAGCAAGGAATGCCAGAAAGCTCCAGGGCTGGGTGAGTAGGACCAGCGCTGTCATGGCTGGGATGAGGAAGTTTGCAGAACACATGCCGTGTTCTGCTTCACTCATCTTTGTGAGTGCCAGTATTGGAGATGTGATCCTATAGTCACGGGAGCTGGCCACCAGGGGTTTGGGGAGCTCTGGTCCTGTCCTTGATGGCCTGTTCTTTCCTTGATGTCTGGTCTACTTGATCTTGCTTTTAGTTCTTTTGTGAATGGATTTGAAGCCTGTGCTTTTGCATCTGAGGAGGAGGAGGAAGAGGAGCTTCCAGCATCTCAGGCAGCAGCTCGGGAAGAAGCTAAGCTGGAGGCAGTAAGGTGCTACATCCGTTCAAACGCAGCCCTGTACCACAAGATTCTCTTTTATGAGCCAATTGAGTTGGCTGAGCTGCACACAGAGCTGAAACAGAATGGCATTAAAATTTCCAAGGCAAAGCTGCTGGACTTTTTAGATGCTCACTGTATCACATTTACCACAGCCGGAGCCCGGAAAGAGAAGGAACAGAGAAGACAGGGGAACAAAAAACAGAGGAGACGATACTAAATGGAGCCCACTCCTCCATCGTGAACATTTTGTACGTGGAGGCCTTCCTGATAAGCTGGAAACCCCGTTCCAGGCTGGTGCTAGCAGTGGTGCTGTGGTCGGTGGGTGCGCTGCTCCTCCTTGTGGCCTGCTCTCCAGATGACAGGCTGGAGAATGGGTCTGAGCTGAGCTCCCCTTCCCAGCCCTCTGCTCCGAATTGCACAGGCTCCTCCAGTTGCTGTCCTGCCTTCAGCACACAGGTCATCTGGAGCCTCTTTCCCCCCCTAGTTTTCCTCCTGTGCCTTTTCTTTCCATTTTTCTAATAGGTTTTAAGTCCCCAACTTTTCTTCCTGTTGGTGCTTCTAAAGACAGGTGCTTCCCCCAGTGACAGTTGCCAAGACCTTTTCCCTGGCCTGGAGCTGTGAAACGCTTCACCCTTCAAGTTCCAGTATTCAGCAGAATAACTCGCCTGTAAGAAACCGGTCCCCTTTCCCCTGTGTAATGCAGTGAATGTTTAGACCCCAGTGACTTTCGTCTTCATTTCTTCAGCATACAATTTACCCTGCTGATTCTTAAGGCAGGGAGCATTGTGGAAATACAATGCCTTTCTTCTGTCCCTGCTTCAATTTGCAGTCTCTGGTAAAACTCCTTAATCTGTGTTTCTTAAATGGCTGCAAAACAGTGGAGGTGTTTTTTGTAGTCTATTTGTGATGTCTCCCATAAGCACCCTCTGACATCAAATGTCACATGAAAGTGCTTTGGATTCAGACATTCAGTCGTGTATGTTCACTTGCATGCTGGATCTGTGTTAAAGATACCATCTGCTCCATTTTCTGAGCGCTGTTTTACCTTGTCAGTGTAGCTTGAATATGTCCTCCACAGAGATGTTTTCAAGAAGACAGTATTACAGTGACCACTGGATCTCTTCAGCGCTTCTTATAACCTGATCTAAACCCACTTCTCTGATCAGTCTCGTTTTCTAACTGGACTGATCTTAGGTTGTAAGCTGTCTAGGACTCCTGGGGAAGTCTTGGACTCTAAATTGTCATCTTTTATGTATCTACTTTCACAACATCTTCTGACTTTTGTCTGTTCTGGCAGTTCTGGGTCTGCAGAGAGTCTCACTGAACAAAATGGACACAGTACTTCAAAAAAAAGAAGCTGGCTTTCTAAATGTATTTATATATTTGGGACATATAAATATTTTTTCTATTTTTGATACAGTGTATCTTCTGCTTTATTTGATTTATATTACATACAATAAACAATTAGTAAGGTACTAAAACTATAAGTAATGTCTTATGACAGGCTTGGGGTGGGTCCTAAGCGACAACACTGGGTTTAGTCGAGAGCAGTAGAGTCCACAGTTTGCACCCGTACTGGCTGAAACCCTGAGCAGAGAAATGGAGGAAGAGGAGTTAACACGGGCACCCAGCAGCAAGGAGAGGTGGGAGAGATCGCCCGGCCGTGGCTGATGAATGATGGATTGGCTGCCTGGAGAGAGAGACAACTGCCTGGTTCGTCTGGGCTGTGCAGCCCTAAGGTAAGGGAGACCTGGGGGGAAGGTGTTGGGGTCTGCCTGTGGGGAAGGGTCTGGTCTGGCCTGGGAGGGGGAGGGCTGCTCGTGAAGGGGAAATGGGTGACCACTTACAAACCTCCTCTTCTCTGTTGGGTGTCCGTGGCGTGTACAATGGTGGCGAGACCTCCTAGGAAAACCACCTGTCACGTCTGGTGAATTTTCAGGAATTTGGGATAGTTTTCTTCCCTGGCAGTCACATCGCTTTGCCTCACCTACCTTCTTGTGCAAGAGCTGCCAGGAGATGACTTTGTTAGGAGAAAAGGACAAGGCTTGCCTTAAGTGGCGTTCTAGGAAATGTTGTTTTCCTCGGTGTACATGTGTCTCTCTCTCAAGTAGTACACACTTCATACATGGAAAAAGCTTCAGTCCTACTTACCAGTCTTAATATGGGAAAATAAATAAGATCCTTTCCCAGCTTTTTTGCTCTGTTTTTAGGTAAGACTTATATTCACGATCAAAGCTTTTGTTATCAATTCTTTATTACATCTTAATCCTTCAATGAATGCAGTGTCACAGTTCAGTGGGTATAAATTAGAATCATTCGAATGGCATTGTGTCATAAAAAACTGTTTAGCATGTTAATGGAGAAAATCTGAATTTTAGTCACCGAAAGTGTCTCCGTCCTCCTGGCTTTGTCATCCTTAAACCTTGCAACTGGGCGGTCTTTGCCTAATGCAGAAAGATGATTTTAAATATCGCATCTGTGCTCTCAGGGTTTGGAGGTAACCACTTTGCGGAGCTTGCCTTGTTGCTGAAGTTGACAAAATGAAATGTCTCCTGTAATTCTAAAACTTTTCTCAGATGATGAGAAAAGGATTTAAAGTCTTTTACAGCCTTCAAGACCACAAGGACATATCTGACATAAACTGCAAATTATCTGAAAGCAATTACTCATTCGCTTGCTTCATTAATCCGTAAGCAAAGAGTGCCTCCCCAAGGTAACACTGGTGTTGCCATCTGCCAGTGATAATGTGTTGCCAAACAGTTTAATTTGTATGTATTTCTCTGTTTTCTTACCTTCCTAGTGCAGGCTCATTTGTCTTGGAAAATACATTGTCATCATTTTTTATTTCCAGCTGTGTAGTAACACCTATCAAAAATATTTTGATACTTCTGTTTGTTTTAACACTTCCAAGACTGCATAAAAAAAAAAACACCACCTTTTCAACTAAGGTATTAACTGTTTTTTAAGTTAAAGAAAGGAGCAGATACATGACCAGCATTGCACAAAGCTCCTGTCTTAGCAAGATGCACCATGTGAGCTCTGAGGGAGCTTTGGAAAACACTGTTTCTAAATTCACTGTGACAATCAAATGATCTGTGGGATTGATTATGGATACTCCTTTGCTGCTACCACCATGCTGGTTTGCTTATTGTTGCATTTCCTGCCTGCAAAAAATAGCCTCAATAGGTTTATTCTGAAAAGCTGTGCTGCAGATGTTTACGTAATAATCTTGCATGTGAGAAGAGAGCTGTTTTCTTACACAGGCACAGGTCTGTGTGTACACTTACTCCAGAAATCACCCTGTCTTAATGGCATTTCTGGAGTGGGGGTGTGATCCACCACCATGGTCTCTGCCATGGCCAAGACCCACGGAGGGGCCAGTTTCACTACAAATATGAGAATGCTGTAAAGCGCAGAGTGGTGACTGCTGCGCCTTCCCCTTCCCTGGGCCAACGGAGCCCAGGTATTGTGCTTACAGTGCCAGTGTTTAGATATCAAAGGGATAAATCCGAGAGCAATCCTTCCTGCAGTTCTTCAAGGGGACTGGAGCTGTTCTGATGTGCATTTCAAATGTGCTCGTTTGCTTTTCATATCATTCAATCACAAAATTTCTTTCAGAGGCATTGCATATAAGCTGCTTGTTGTTTAATGAAACGCAAAGTGCTTGGAAGAGGTGACGCAGCCTTCAGCAAAGATGTCTCTGTGATTCAGTTGCAGTTCCCCACAACAGGGTTTCAGAGGCACCTGCAGTATTTCTCTGCCCAGGTTCCTTGCCTCTCCAGCTGCTCTACTGCCTGGACAGTCACCTTGTAAGCTTAGCTTACTAAGGAATGAGTTCTCACTAAAGATTTAAGTGATTGCTAAGGATTTAAGCTCATCCCTAAGCCCACTCCTCCTCTCCCAACACCGAAGGTCACATCTCCACTCTGGGGACCTCGGAGGCTCCAGCAGCCTGACAGTGCCCCGGGGAGGGTCCTCATCTCTCGGAAGGGCACTAAGCCCATACAAATTTCCAGAGCTCTGCTTCGGTGTCTTCTAGATACTTCCTTCTTATAAAGTGCTGGCTGCTCTTGCGTCTTGTTCATCGAGCTTCCGCCATGAAGGGTCGGTGTCGGTGCCCGAGGTGGGCCCTTGCTGTTTGCCTGACAGGGAGGAGGCTTCCCAGACACGCAGAGCTGAAGTCTTGCCTTCCACAGGTACCCCAAGAGAAACCCTTCGCCTGCAGGGAGAGCCTCCGGCAGCGATGGCGTCTCGTCCAGCACCGGGTAACCCACACGGGAGAGGCCCTACGCGTGCGGAGAGAGCTTCAGCGTGAGCTCGGAGGGGAATGGGCAGCAGGTAACGCAC